CCCCCCCCCCCTGGTCTGACTTCATTCAATAAATCATAGAAATAGGATAAAACCTAAACGACAGGGCCGTAAAACACAGGCATGAACGGACCCAGTAGCTCAGAGTTACTCCACTTACTCTTGGCTGCGTATTTGTTCTCTTTCCGCGTTTTGTTGGCCGCTTTCAGGCAGTTGTCGCATGTAAAGCTGTACGGGGGAAAGAAAAGAGTTTAAAGTTTTTACATTTAAAGGTTAACGTAGAGCAACATGACAGATTAAGTGGTTTCAATTAAGAGATGTCTTTAATGTCCTTTCTTTAAATCACTCTGTAAATTACAAACAGACCACACATGAAGGAAGTCAAACTCTGAGGAATGACGACTCCTCACTCCAGTGGCAAGACTTTCTTTGTGTATGATTGTCTGTTGCATTTCCCTTCTTAACATTCTCAGATACAACACTTTGCTCGAACTGCAGCTAAAAGTCTGTGATTATAAACATGTATGTTTAAAAGCTGCTCCACAGATACCTCAAAATGTGTATTCATGTGTGTTAGTACTTTTTCCGAGCACCTTTATTGATGCTTTGGATGAATCTAAAAGCTTTTTCATTTTTTTTTAAAGAAAAACAAAGAAGGTCAGATTTATTTTCCAGACCCAGTCACATAGAGAAACAGAACGTGCAGAGTGTGTGTGTCTGATCGTTGGCTCACCCCAAAGGCCATATGGTGTCATGATGCAGCACGCAGATCTGGTGCATTTTACGATCGCAGTCAATACATTCCACAAGTCTGAGAAAAGAAAGCGCGGGAGACAAAAGACAGACACAATGTGTACGGTTAATAACGCAACGTGTCCCACAGGATAGAATATATCGTCCTCTAAAGGAGATAGAGAGATGCTAAAGAAATCAAATGATATCTAAATACATTTTTTAAATGAAAAAAGGAAATTCTTAGTATTATAACAGGGTTCATAAACTTTTTCACCAATGATTTTCCATGACCAAAACAATTACTCTCTCAGCGGTAGCACTGAAAATGATTTATTTTAACATGGAACAGGAAAATAAGGTCTGCATATGAAACATGTTGTGTTATCTAAAACAAATCCAATAGTAGGCTTACTAGCTTCTACAGGCAACTCAAATCTCTCACCAGCAAAATACCTCGACAGTTAAATGCCATTTTACATTTCATTACGATACAGTATTTATTATCATTATAGTATTACTATTTCGGTGATTAGATAAAATATAAATTATATTTGATGCAACTTTAGTTACATTTCCATGACTTTTCCAAAACTTTGGGAAAAATATTGTTTTCCAGAACTTTTCCAGGGCCTGGAATTAGCTTTTTGAATGTCCATGACTTTTCCAGGTTTTTAATGACCGTAAGAACCCTGTTATAATATTTTTTCTTTCTTTTCTATAAGAACCTGTTTTAAGTGGCTAAAGAAGTGTTTTTAAATCTGAACTCATGATGCAATTTAACGAAGTGTGTACACTTTACAGATTTTAAAGGATCACGGGGATGGTGGCAATGGTTATTAATGAGTAAAAAAGGGGTACGTACAACTCGGGGTCGAGTGTGTCGTTCTTCTTTCGCTGGAACTGCTCTTTGTTGATGGTCCTGTGGAGAAAATGGGAAATTGAACAACTGTAACACACACACAATATAATAATAATGTTTTCACTAACCTAATATTTTAACCCTACATGTTGTTAAACATCTCCACCACTGAGATGAGAGAAATACATTCTGGTTTTGCATTAGTGTTTAAATATCACATGGTTACGAGGGTGAGGTGACTAACTGAAAAACAAATCACTTCAAGACAAAGAGGAAGAAGCACTTTA